AATGTATCAAGTCCACTGTCAGATGCTGGGAATCAAGACAACTACTATGGCCGACGACTTCGGACTCGGTACGTTCTACATAGTCTCCCTGAACACAAGACCAAGTTGCGAAAACGAGGTCAACCCACTTCTATAAGTCAAAAGGAGACTGCGACCATACCCGAGGCCACAACATCTTGGTCTTCACATCTTCCTTTATAATGTTTAAACTTTCCCCTGACGCTATTAATAGTACTGTATAAGCAAAGAGTGAACCTAACAAATATGAAGAGGAAATGAAGATAAAGTTAATCAAACTCACCGTTCAAACGAACTTCTGGTTTCTCCTCGAAAAAAGTATACGTGCTCCTTAAAGCGCAGCTTGATAACATTTTCACGGCGGATCTGATCACCTGGGTCAGGCTGGCCGATTTGGTAGCCAAGTAAAGGTAGACTGGCCAAAGGAGATTCGTCCTGATGAGTCTTGTGGAAGAAAAGACACAATTGCGCGAAGACCACCCACAATTTCTGCCAGCCATTGCTGGTCTTGAACTTTCGTAGCAGGTAGCCACTGGTTTGATACTGACATCAAAAAAAGAAAGTTGAGGATATATATATTGAAAGGATACATGAATTAAGTGCATGGAAAGAAAAATTTTACAAAAACGCGAATAATGAATGAATAAATAGGATGTAGAAATGAAGAAATCTCATAAGAAAAAGTGGTTAATTTCCCAAATTATAACTCAAAAAGCAGATGCTCTTTAACTTCGAAAGAAGGAAAGAGAAGAGAGCCCGATAGACCCTAATGGTGAGGGAAAGCAAAAAATTTCAGAGGTTATTTGACCTTGCCTTCGAAACTTGGTCATATTGGTAGGAAGACTTAGAGGAACGCACCTAGTCCGGAGTCCATTGTCTGCATGATCCTTTCCAAAGTTGAACCGTGGACGTGGTACATTCCCAAACGTTTCGCCGGCATCGTAGTCGGCATCGTCAGTGAGTCTTGCCATACAACAACTCGTCAAAGAGACAAGTGAAGCTGATCCTTTGACCAAGCGTATGCTAAATAGTTGCGGTACCTCCCCTTGTGTCCTGGGCTATACACATTTCCTATATCCTCCCATCACGCCTTCACTGTTACACTTTTTAACCGTGCCTATTTCAATGTGGTGTGGTGTGCTCCTTTGAGCGGCATTCATTAAAACCCTTCACACTCCACGCTGTCGTTCTCACCCCTTCACCCTTGTGCTTGGAATGCTGATCAGAGGAAATGTAAATAGCCCAGGGCAGAAGGGGAGATATCAGCGTGTTTAGCACACGTTTAGTCAAAGGATCGGCTTCATTTGTCTCTTTGACGATTCGTTGTATGGTGCTAAGAGTGGCGATACTCACTGACGATGCCGGCGAAACGTTTGAGAATGTACCACTTCCACGGTCCGATTTTGGAAATGCTCATGCATACAATGGACTCCGGACTAGGTGCGTTCATATAAGTCTTCCTACCAATATGACCAAGTTGCGAAAACAAGGTCAAACAATTTCTATAC